ATAATAATAATAATAATAATAATAATAATAATAATAATAATAATAATAATAATAATAATAATAATAATAATAATAATAATAATAATAATAATGGGGCTAGAATAAAAAAAAATGCTTAACATTTTTTGCATATTTTTGTGTTTGGAATTTTACGATTAGCTTTTACTTGACACATTTATGTGGTACATTATGTTAGCCTTATCATCTCTAACCAATTCAAGCCTGTTTTTATAATATGAGAAATATTGATATTTAGCTACTTTTACATGCCTTTAAGTGCTACAGTACATAGAACAATGCAATAATTGTTAATCAACACCAATCAGATAAAAAAGCTTTTGCTTAAGGTTATTAAACTGATCAATGGGCTTTATCAGAAGGTAGTCAGACACTTAAACTCAGCTACCCCCATAAATTTGCATTCATAGTTATGTAAATATAAAAAGTACTGATATTACTAGCTTATCCTCATTACTCTGCCGTTTATATATTACTTCTCCATAGAAACTTACTGCAAAGGCTATGAATGTCTCAGATGTGTTGATGTCTTATAAATGTCCTCTAGTGTTCTGTGTAACATAGAAAGACTACCTCCCCAACATGATAAATGCTGATTACAAAGCACAAGGTGGTAAATTAGATCAGAGCTTCACGCCCTTGCACAATGTTACAGTAGAGGACGCATTCCAGTGTGGAGTTATGTGAAGATGATGAATGCATCTTAAACAAATTCTTTTGTCCTTTTATCTCCTTTTTCTCAGATTGAAGGAGAGGAGGAGCAGAAACGCTTCGAAGAAGGCAAGGCCCGTTACCTCCAGAACAAGGCAAAGAGACTTGCAGAAAAGGAGCGCCAACAGTGACACTTTGGATCAGCATATCAAACAGCAGAAACCAATTTCATCATTATATATATATATATATCTATATCTATATCTATATATAGATATAGATATATATATATTCACAATATGAAAGAGTTAGAGCCCCGCTTTTAATGTAGCCTGTTAAACCATATTCTGTGACCCTGTTTTTCAGCAGTGCTGCTCACCAAAGTATTTCTGTATACTTGTGTGCAATATCAATGTAAAAGTAATAGTACTTTTTTAAGTTTAGGGAATATGCTAAAGTATTTCTGATCACTGCTGGGGTTAAACAACAGCACGATTTTAAAGGTACCATATTGCTTCGCAGGAATATCTAACTACAGAGTTGCCTTTGATGTCAGTGCAAAATGATACTGAGAGTGCGAGGGAAATGATGAATAAGTGAGTGAATAATAATAAATAAATAAAAGAGCCAAGCGTGAGTCGGGGCCTCTCACATCTTTTGTCCTTGCCTTTTTGATGATAATTATGTCATAGTCTTAGGCATGTCTTGGCAAAGAGGGCACATGCTAGCCCTCTTTTCAGCACTGTGTCTTTTACACAGCATTCATTGGTGCTCAGGGGTTTTGACTCATCCAGCATATCTCCCCCACCTCCTCCCTCCTCTGTCTCCTCCTCTGCATGTCTGTCACACTCTGACTTCAGCTGGTGTCATTTTCGCATCTGTTTCCATCTCCTCACAATCTCGCCTTCTTGCTTATTTACTCTATTTATCCTTATGGCTACTCTTCAATCCCATCATCTGGCTGCATTGCTCTCAGTTTATACAGATGAGGTATGAAAATGGCTTTTGTCCTGATAAAAAAAAAAAGAGAAATGGAAAAAAGTGTTTTTATATTGGTCGGTGGAGAGGTTGAGATTGACACAATAAATTATTCAAGAAGAGTCCATATCCATGTGAGAGTGTCAAATCTGAATTATTCTTTTAGTGAAAGCACTATATGCAATCTTACATTGCATCCGACAAGTGCAAATCTCTAAGCCAGAGCTGAAGTGCTTCAGCGGTCAACACAAAAGGTGGTCTACAAAAAGTGCTGGCAAGGAAGGAGGTAGGAAGAGGAGACAGGAAGCTTCCTCTCAATATTTCATTTAGGGGATGAACCTTCAGACGTTCTGGCCCATTGTGTCTGCCCCATCTCACATGGTGTTAACACACACACCTATATGCTCCAAAACCAGCAAACTTGTGAAACCTCATAAAAACGTACACACCTTCATGCTTTTTGGTGTTATAACAGGGAGCTTCAGTCGTTCACTAGGTTTGTGTAACTTATATTTTTGTAATTCTTTCATGGAAGGCTATAGTCCTGATTTAAGAGACATCATCTATCTGTGTTTCCATCATGTAAAAAGGTTTGTAAGGCTGAACGCTGATTTGATTCAGCACAGCAGTCTGCAGCTCCTCCCCTATCCCTGATACTGTTCCTACTGTTAATCTCTAGGGATAGGAGCTTGGAACATGTTGGAGCTACAACTTGCACAACTCTGAATCAACTTTGGTTAAAGGAAAGTACACGTCTTTCAATTCTAAGGCTTATCTCTCAAAACAAAATCAATAATCTGTTCTTTACCAGGTTTTCAAATTACATCAGGCCTTGACTGGGAGTGACATTGGCACACGGCATGTGTCCCATGTATGAAGCCCTCAATGCTGTTGTGCTAAATTTGAATCCCGATCTAGACATTCTTCCTTTATTTTCTTTCCTGTCTGTCAATTTTGACAGGCAGGCCACTAGACTTTGGAAACTTAAAAAACAGCACAAAGAACAACAACACAGCATTGATAGTATAAAAAGAATTTTCTAGTTTCCCCATGGCTAATATTTTTTTTTATTTTTAGCTAAGTACACCCCAACTGCATGTAGCCCCACCTTTGGCAAAGTCATTTTTCTCTCCTACTATTTCAGGTCCTTTCCATTCTAACAATAAATAATATTTTTTGTTATGTTTGCACCACATGTCCTTAGGCGGAAAGATATTTTGGTAATAAAAACCCAGTGTGTGGGAAACATGCTTCTATTTAACATTAGGGAGAAATAAACAATGATGATGACAATTTTATAAGCCTGCAAGAACTTTCTTTTGCTTTTTAATGTGGTTACAGCATAAGATAACTGCCATAATTGGGTGCAGCAGAGATATGGCACCCTCTTTAGATTTGGACCCACAAACCATGTTGATACAATAATAAACAACAACAACAAAAAAACATCAAAAGCAAAAAACAAATAAATAAACTGTTGAAACATACAAAGAGTTCTGTAGCAGGAGAGGAGTTAGTTTTTCACATTGTTATAAAAGACCTCGGTACCACTCTTCTTCCAGACCTTGCTAGAGTCCATTAATGTTTAGGAACATTTTCCCAAAGTTTATTGTATTTCATTATCCAATTTAGGCCAAGCATTAGCTGCTGGACAGATGGCCTCAAATTTGACTATTCAAGAACTGAAGTATATAGAGGAGACCAAAATCAATTTAATGACTACATGCTTCCCAGCTGGAGTTGCTGCAAAACAAGTCTAAAAATTAGCCCTCCACCAAAATGCTTGAGAACTGCTCTACACCGTTGGTAGTAAAAGGCAGTGTTCATGTATCAAACATTTAGCTGCTATTTAACCCCTTAAGCCCAAGCACCCCCTTTCAAAGGTTCTATTTTTAACTCCAGTGAATCACAGACATCTTGTGGGAGAAGAACACAGGAAGGGAGGCATAATGTAGGGATGACACAATGCTTTTCATATGGCAAGAAAAATGTGACCTTATTGGAAAGCATTTGCATTATGCACAACATATCGTATGTATATGCATGCCTTCCTGGAAACCATTCTCATCATTTACATGTTCATTACCGTCCTCTTCCATTTCAGATGCTGGCAGCTTAGAAACTATACTGTAACCATGGTTACTTATGTGCACATTTACACTTAAAATGTAAGAAATTTCCTTATCATAAAGTAATCTGTATTTCTTCCTGTGGATGCAGTAGGACAACTGCATGTTATAAATTGCATCGATAGAAGATAACAGAAAGAATTTACGCCCATTCACGTTCAACCCTTACTTTATAGTTTTCTCTCCAAAGACATTGACCCCACAAAAAGGCTCCATGTTAAACTGCTTTTCCCACCAGAGAATAACAGTAATGAATGAGGGTGAAATGCTGATCTCACGTTTCCACTCATGCCTCTGCATCCAAATCAGGAGATAGCTGCACACTCGCTGCTGTATCCTGTACCCCAGAGAGACTGTCAAGGCTACTTTTATAAATGATACTCTCACGCAGCAAAAAAACCCATTAAGGAACTCACACGAAACGAAGACCGACCCAAGGAGGTGTTTGGAAATCACGTGCATTTCATACACCAGTAAGATGCAGGACTTTGCATTCCCCCACCTTGGTTTTTAAAGCACTCAGATATTGCTTTGTCAGTCATTTTCTGGCTGCAGGGACTTGCTTCGACACATATGAGACAAAACACATCGACCTAAACTGTGTGTAGGCATGCTTAAATCTGACTTGTACAAATAAGTTTGTCAATATTTTGTGTGGAAAAAAAGACTCCCTTGCATTCACAAACATGTGCTACAGATGCTCCAACAAAAAAAGCTGCACACAGAGGATCATTTTTGAAAAAAATAATTTAATCAATATTTCCTTTTAAGGAAAGAGTTTATGTCTTTAATTCATCCTTGAACACGTCCACAGAGCAGAGATACGGGCCTCTAAATTCAGACACCACGCATTATCTGGGAGTGGAGCCAGCAAGATTTTCCTTGCAGAAGGGACAACGTAACACTCTATAGTTTGTTTGGCTTAAATCTTTCCCCTTTAAAGCTACAGCAGGCCTTCCTGGAGTACTTCTAAATTTGGTTGCCTTCACAAGCCCTTCCTCACAGAGAACAAACAGTTCTGCACGAAGGGAAAGAACAGCCACTACACTATTAAATGTTTCTAACTATTTAAAAGTTCATGTATATACACTGCTCAAAACATTAAAGGGAACACTCAAATAACAGATCCTAGAACTGAATGAAATAGTTTGATTGAATTCTTTGTTCTATACAAAGTTGAAAGTCCTGATGACAAAATCACACAAAAAATTATCAATGGAAATCTAATTTATTAACCAATGCAGTCCTGGATTTGAAGTTACACACAAATTAAATTGGAAAAACACACTACAGCTTAAAACAGGCTTT